CGCCGGGACCGCGGCCCCGCCAAACCGTTAGCGGCCGGCGACCCGCACGGACACCCCCGCGGGCCCGTGGGCTGCAACCCCCTCCTTCAAATATACACCCCCCTCTTTTTTTTTTCCGACCATTTCTTTTGAGCAGCATTTCACAGGCAGAGTATTTGCAAACGTCAAACTCCTCCCGGAGCAGAGGGCTGCAAGCTGCAAGCAAATTTTGGACCATTTTCTCCTGTCCTGTGTCCTGCTCGTAAAGGAGGGACAGCCTTATGCAGAAAGGGCGATAAAACAACCAAGTGCTCTTGTATAGTTTTGATGTAGATGCTTCACCTACTGACATTTTCAGAATTGGATTTACCCTTGCTCAGAAATGGCTTAAAATACATTGTGCTATTTTTAAATAACATCACCCTCTGTCTATAGTAGACCTTGCTGCTGTGAATGGAAATAACGTGACTAAAGGCAGGCCTGAACTCAACCAGAAAGGTGCAAGATCCAAATTAATCTAGTTACAACTAGTGTAAAACACGGTGTGGGCACTTTTATCTATTTAAGAACAGCATCAGAATAGCCAGCTACACAATAAACCTCCTCAAAATTGTAAAAGCTGTTGAAGTTCAGCCGGAACAGAAATGTCTTGAAATTACTCCACTACAGATAGGGTTGAAAATCATAATCCCATTCGTGCTTGCAATATAATCATAGGCAGAGCAATTAACTGTAGTATCACAGAGGATTATGACTTGAAGTGAGGAATAAGTAACATGAGCAGATGGACTCTTAAAATACCCTGTGTTCACATGAATGGAAAAACAGGAAAGGAGGATTGAAAGAAATGTGCTATTGAAACAATACAGCCTTCAGAGGAAACAGTCTTTAAAATACTCTATAGATTTCTTCAGGTCTCATCCAGACTGAAAGTTCACTTTTTCTTGGGGAGCCAACTCTGAGGTGTACCAGCACAGCTCTTATGCGGCAGTTTTAGCATGGATGAAGAAAGATATTTCTCTCTGATTTCTTATGTCCAGCCCCAGCTATAAAAGAACACAGGCAAGGTATGAAATCAGTAAGTATAAATCTTCAGTAAAAAGGCCATTTTGACAAAATAGCTGTTATACGGAAAGAATAAATACACAAGTATAACATTAAGGAGACAGCAGAGTCAACGTGATTGTTTTGACGTGGGGGGTTTAGTGATATATAGGAAATGGGAGGGGGCTGAGCTGGGAGCCTGGGAGGAATTTATGTGTGATGGCAGAGCAGGAACCTGTGAGAAGCAGAAACAAAAGCAAAACCTGAGAGAGAAGTGGAGATGGTGGAAAAAGCTTTCACACCTCTCTGCATCTGGAAACCCCTGAGACTGTTTGTAATGTTATATGTGCCTGTGCCACCTACTACTGTTTTATTTTCAGGAGACATCTGCAATTTCTTTTCCAGTGGACAATAAGCGGTCTAATAGTTGTAGGGTCACCATGAATTCGTAGTTCTCTCCAGAAATTTCTCCTGAAACTTTCACTTGACTTCACCACAGCGTTGCAGGTTGCTGCTCTTCCACTGGTGAGAAGCAGGAAAGCATTAACCAGATATTAATTAGTCCTGGGAAGTGTTAAGTCCTTGTATGAGAGAAGTTTACCCAAGCAAATATGATCCTTGCACTCAGAGCCGTTAAAATAGGTTTAGTGCACCTGTGTGCATCTGATAGCACCCATGCAGGGAATGATGTCTCCAACAGCTACCCCAGTTCAAAAAGCAGGTCCATGCTACAGGGGCAAGAAGAATTGGATTCACCCTTATTACTATAAAAAACAGCAAGAAACTTGTTACTTTTTCATCTCTTTCAGTGGCTTTAATTTCTTTAATAATAGGAGGTGCGATGTGTGTAGGCAGAAGCTGACAATATTTCTGCAAGCTGTACAGAATTGACTAAATTAAAAACATCTTCCTACCCCCCTCTTCCAGGCTCAGAAAGACTCATATGCAGCACTAGCAAGTACCTTCTCAACGGACTTCCCTGGTGCGAAGAAGAAATGCAGATGTCTGGGAGGACCACTGTCCTTGTCTGTGTACCATGGTGAAAAACAGTGACCAAAATACACATCCCGTGGAAGATGAACCCAGATGGGACCAGCTCCGCTGCAGATTCCATCATTGCTAGCCTAGTATAGCACCTCCAGCCATGGGCTACAAGTCTTTAGAACGATAATAAAGTGTGCGGGAGAAAACAGTGGGTTTTGTGGATGATGTGTCATCAGTAAATATGAACGTGAGATTCACAACAGTATCACAAAATAAAAAAAAAAAAAAAAAAAAAAAAAATTGAATCCTAAAGTCTCATCCGCTGTTGGAAGCCAAGGCTGTGCATCCTCACCTTGTGGATGTTCTTCTTCAGAGAGTGATGTCATGGGGTCAGTGGAGGTTGCATCTGGAGTACTATGTTTATTTTACTTTCCCACATGGTCTCAGCAATGTGCCCAAGAGTGCTTGCAGCAAACATGGCAGCTTCTTCCTCTGCACCATAATCTGCCAGCCTATGATCCTCCCTATAGAAAAATCCATGCCATTTATTCCCACCAGGAAAAGGGCAACACATTGAAAGAAACAGAAGAAAATAAAATAGGTAGAGGGATGGGGGAAGAAAGGGTTATGCTGATATTAAATTACACCCTCAGCACTGTAATGAATACCACGTCCTTCATGTAAACCCACTGAAATCCCAGAAAAGTAAGTTTTGTTGTCAAGAGAATTGGGACAGAGTCTGAACTGCTCCTCTGCCTTGGCCTGCAAACACCAGTCTTCAAATCAAACAACGAAGATTTAAAACGATCCTGCACAGGATTCAGAGCTAGGACTTTTTTTTTTTTCATTTTTTGATTGTTGAAACCAAACATTAGATGTTAACTTTTCAATCTATAGCTGCATATGAAATCAAGTCTTCAGTGAAACAGAAACATTAGCTGTTTTTAAAGGTGACCTGGCATTAGACACAGACATGTATATTTGACCTGCTTTATCCTGCTCTATGTCACTCTAAAATTGAAGAGGACATCAGGATCGAAAGAAAGGACAGTATCTTCACTGTAATGTAACTCACTTTTTTGAATACACAGAATAAAATCCTTTTTATCATCTTTGGTTTTACCATCGTGTTACAACCTTTACCTTTTTTGCTTGGAGGTAACATTACCACAGCAGTTAATTTAACTTTGTTTACAGTTTCACTTTGCACTTCTTTCAAACCATCAGAGTGACTTGGGTATCAAATTTTAGTTTGTTTTCTAACAAGGCAGTCCTTGATAAGTTTATTCTTAATTATATAAAATAAAACTATCCAGATGCTTATACTATTTTAAAATCTCAATACCAGCTATGTAATGCTAGCTATTTTTGTTGTTTAAATATACTACCTGTAAACTAATCTAAGTCCCTTGAAGCAGCCCCAAAAATATGAGTAGAGCTTGCATCGGCCCTTCCTACACAAATTAACACCTTTTGACATGGGTAACTGGGAGGGACTGAGGTGAAACCAGCAGTTTGGCATTCCTTGATAAGAAAATTTTGTCCAGTTGTGGATTAAGGGTGAATTACAGGAAATCTGCACTGATTTAAGGGCCTGATAACTGAGAAGATCTTCAAAGCTCTTGTAAAAGATAAACAGTTATTTTTGAAAGTCTGGGTAATTTAAATTTCTCTTCAAAAAGAGAAAGAAGGGCTGTTTCAGAACAATCAGCCCCAAAAGGCCGTTCATACATCCCCACGGCCTCCACATTCTCTGAATTTTATGCTGCAATTATCAGCTTGTCAGGACGTCCTAGCTCTGCTTGATTAAGTCCTCTTTAAAGTATTAAGGCTGTTTGCAACTACTTAATGATCCTTTCAGGTACCAACACTGTCAAGACTTTTTTTTTTTAATTTTAGAAGCCCTGATCTTCAGAGCCAAGATGGGATCAGAGCTTCTCCCATGCCTTGCTCCAGCCCTTCAGCGTTGGTGGGGGAGTTTCTGAATCATGCTCCCTGTTCTGGGTCCTGCACATATCATGTGTGGGGCAGCAGGAATGAGTCCTCCTGCATTCCAACGCATGTGAAGCCTCTGCTATATTGCATCTGCAAGTGCAGAAAATCCTCCTCCCTCTGCTCAGCGTTAATGCCGTCAGGGATGGGAAGGAGCTCCAGAACACCAGCACAGCTGGAAGGGAGGGAAGGATTAGATGGCAGGTTTCTTATTAATGTTCAAGAAAAATAAACAACCCCTTCCGTAGCAACTTCCTCACAGGTTTGGGATGAAAACAGAGGAGCATGGAGTTTGATGTAGTTCTTATGGCACGTCCTGTGGAGGCACAGCTTCAGAATCATCT